TTGGTCTGTACCAGATCCTGGGTATCCCTCCTACCATCGCTTGCGTGACATTTAGTGCGAGCCTTGGTCTGTACCAGATCCTGGGTATCCCTCCTACCATCGCTTGCGTGACATTTAGTGCGAGCCTTGGTCTGTACCAGATGCTGGGTTTCCCTCCTACCATCGCTTGCGTGACATTTAGTGCGAGCCTTGGTCTGTACCAGATCCTGGGTTTCCCTCCTACCATCGCTTGCGTGACATTTAGTGCGAGCCTTGGTCTGTACCAGATCCTGGGTTTCCCTCCTACCATCGCTTGCGTGACATCTAGTGCGAGCCTTGGTCTGTACCAGATCCTGGGGTTTCCCTCCTACCATCGCTTGCGTGACATCTAGTGCGAGCCTTGGTCTGTACCAGATGCTGGGTTTCCCTCCTACCATCGCTTGCGTGACATTTAGTGCGAGCCTTGGTCTGTACCAGATGCTGGGTTTCCCTCCTACCATCGCTTGCGTGACATCTAGTGCGAGCCTTGGTCTGTACCAGATCCTGGGTTTCCCTCCTACCATCGCTTGCGTGACATTTAGTGCGAGCCTTGGTCTGTACCAGATGCTGGGTTTCCCTCCTACCATCGCTTGCGTGACATCTAGTGCGAGCCTTGGTCTGTACCAGATCCTGGGTTTCCCTCCTACCATCGCTTGCGTGACATCTAGTGCGAGCCTTGGTCTGTACCAGATCCTGGGTTTCCCTCCTACCATCGCTTGCGTGACATCTAGTGCGAGCCTTGGTCTGTACCAGATGCTGGGTTTCCCTCCTACCATCGCTTGCGTGACATTTAGTGCGAGCCTTGGTCTGTACCAGATGCTGGGTTTCCCTCCTACCATCGCTTGCGTGACATCTAGTGCGAGCCTTGGTCTGTACCAGATCCTGGGTTTCCCTCCTACCATCGCTTGCGTGACATCTAGTGCGAGCCTTGGTCTGTACCAGATGCTGGGTTTCCCTCCTACCATCGCTTGCGTGACATTTAGTGCGAGCCTTGGTCTGTACCAGATGCTGGGTTTCCCTCCTACCATCGCTTGCGTGACATCTAGTGCGAGCCTTGGTCTGTACCAGATGCTGGGGTTCCCTCCTACCATCGCTTGCGTGGTCGACCTCTAGGTCTGCTTCTAGTGCACTTCTTGTGATAGTCTTGATACATGTCCGAACCATTTAATACGTTGTCTTTTAATGTAGTTTAGCACTGATTGCGAACCCCCCCCCCCCCCCCCCACCCCTGTGTGTTTTTGTTTTTACAGAACCCCTCCCCAACACCGTCTACCCGTTTCCTGATATCGTCATTTCTGAAAGGCAAGAACCTCCCTTCGAAGTCGGTGTGCATCCGCCTGTGAGGCAAGAGCTAACAGTCTGCATACAAATAAGCCAGATTTGTAAAACCGATGTGCACGCAAAACTCAAGTTCTGAAACAAGTCTAAAGTCAAGAAGTGGACGAACATCATAAACTTCCCGCAGGAGACTACAGCTGATGAAGAACAATGGAAAGAACTGAGCTAATTAAATATTTGCGGCAAAGATCTGCGAAAACTATCCAGCATTTGTTGTCAGCTAACAACAACTAAACAAATATCCGACTATTTACGAACGTTTCACAGCATACAGAAATGTATCGAGAAATATGTTTGCTGTCCACTGATCTGTTTACGTTATATAGCAGAAGTATAGAGATATCTAGAAAGTATGTCAGGCATCGCAGTTGATAGTTACAATATAAATAACATTATGCCAGTGTCACCGCCTTTATGGCAACAAAGAAACAGAAGCTGCAAACAATTTAACATACAGTGATTTCCGGCAGTCTTGTCAGTTGTTCCTTCTCACAAAATGCCCGAATAAAACCGATTGTCTCCGTCTAATTTCTTCAACCAGTTTACGGTTTTTCCGGTCTCTGACGGACTGTCTCGCTTGTTTGACAAATTTTGTTGAAAAGCGTTTGCTATATTTTCTATCAATTTTGAGATTGTATGGGTGCCTATGAATACCAATTATTTTATTTCTTAGGCTACGAAAACGTAACTTAACAACGTGTGGGGAAAGGCATGGGAAGTGGGGTGGCCAGTATTGATCATCGTAGTAAGCAGATTTGCAAATGCATCTTCTATTTCAAGGTATCCTGTTGTGTGGGATGTGTGGTGATCGCAATGGTTGGCGTGTCGGTGTGTACTCGGGAGCACACAGAAACAAGAGAGGCGAATGTTGGGCCGTCATTTAACGCGTGTAGTAATTTGGAGCTGTAAAAAAGCTGGGGGGGGGGGGGGAGCCGAAAGAATTACATAACATGCATACCTGATGTTGCTGCTATTGTTTTTCCCCCTATTACTGTGCTGCAAAATTATCTGATCTTAACAGGAAAATGTCGAGTTGTCTCCGCATGTAAATCTGTTGCAAAATATCTACAGTGAGCCTGTTATCTGTCCACGGCGTGTCCCCCACCCCTATTTTATAAAACCACATTTCTATAAAAGGCAGCAATTTTGTATTTTTTCCCCCATGAACTGGTTGATTGTTGTGATCAACTGACCACATCAAGATCGGCTCTGTTTAGCTTATATAAATAAACTCAATTTTCTCCCCTCGGCTGTACGTATTGTTACAGAATATTCTTCATTCAGAGATTCTATGGAACATCCTTCTACAATAAGACATAATTCGAGTTAGTTAATCGACAGATTTTCCTCATTCCACATCGGACAAGTCCATAACCCCCTCAGATGCCATCTTTAGTGTATCTCTCATCGTGTCACGACTGATAACACCAGTTCTGTGTTGGTTTACTATTCTTCCTTGGCTACCTAATAGTTTTCATGTTTTGCGACACGTCTTTTGCCCTAAAGTTTTTGTAGTCTTTTGGGTGTTGCCAATTTATTGTCATCTCCTGAATCATCTTCTCCTCCTGCCACCTTTAGAGCATTGAGAATGTCTGCCCGGCCCATCCCATTGCTTTTCTTGTACCTACCGTGACCCTGCCAGCAAGCCAGTCCGCTCGTTCATTCCCTCTTACACCAGAGTGTCCTGGGGGCTGCGTGGTCTCGAGACATGATGTCCGCCTCGAGTGCTAGAGGTTCCGGGTTCAATCCCCTTTAAATGCTGGGATTTTTTTCACATGGACTTGGACTTTTAATAACTCCCCCTGGTCTCTGGGTAGTGAGATCGGACGCCCGTGTGCATTGTTGCGCACGTAAAAAATCCCTTGGCAGTCGGAAATCGAAAAGAGAAGCCTAACCGCGCTGCCCGGGCAAAATGTGGAGTAAAAAATCTACCCAAAGTATTTCAGGATCCTCGCCGGTGCTACAGAGTGAACTAATTGAGGGGTTCCTTGGGAGTCGGAGTGCATTTGCCTGAGAGGCAAGGAACCAACAGTTTGCATACAAATAAGTCAGATCTGTAAAACGGGTGTGCACGCAGCACTCCGTTTCTGAAATGAGACTTAAGTCCAGAAGTGGACGGACAAGCAGAACTTTCCGCTGGAGTTTACAGCCGGTGAACACGAAGAAGAAGAAGGAGTAAACGAGAAGTGAATTGTGTAGAATATTCTTCAGCCTGAGGTCATGACTGGAGTAGATCTACTGGCAGGGACCCGAGCAAACCATCTGCTATACGTTAAAGCTTTTAAGGTAATGTGTGATGACTCATATACCACGAAAAAAAACGTGTACAGCTCTAAATACACTAGAGATAACATACGGGCGTGAGCGTTAAATATTCATATTGAGGAAATGCAGGCAGTAGGAAATTTTATATTAAATAGTAACAAATTGGCATCAGACAGTGCACCGGAGATCAGTGATCTACAGATACAAAGGTAACAGAACCAGAGGTCGACCACGCATAACATGGACAGCAGAGACAAAGCGAACATAAGGGCCTGTTCTAGAGATCACTTCCAGGAGTAGAGCAAAGAAGAAGAAGAAGAAGGGAAAAAAGATAATAAAAATATCGAAACCTATGTTGTCGTGGCGGAATGACAAGAGTATATCTTGCCTGACGGCAAAAGGGCCCCAGGAATCCGCGGTGGAATAGGCTATGTAAGCCCCTGGCGAGGTTGGAGCCCTTAAACATTAGACAGTAAGTTAATCAGACACACAACCTATGTCGACCAAGACGGTTAAAGAGACACACAAAGCATTCGACTAAGGCGGTTAAACAGACACACAAAGTATGTACACTAAGGCGGTTAAACAGATACACAAAGTATTAGACGAAGGCGGTTAAACAGATACACAAAGTATGTATTCTAAGGCTGTTAAACAGATACACAAAGTATACAACTAAGGCAGTTAAACAGATACACAAAGTATTAACTAAGGTGGTTAAACAGATACACAAAGTATTAGACTAAGGCGGTTAAACAGACACACAAAATGTGTCAACCTAGGCAGTTTAACACACACACACACACACACACACACAAAGTATGTACACTAAGGCAGTTAAACAGATATACAAAGCATGTCTAATAAAGCGGTTAAACAAATACACAAAGTATGTACACTAAGGTGGTTAAACAGACACACAAAGTTATAGACTAAGGCGGTTAAACAGATACACAAAGTATTAGATAAAGGCGGTTAAACAGATACACAAAGTATGTAGACTAAGGCGGTTAAACAGATACACAAAGTATTAGACTAAGGCAGTTAAACAGATACACAAAGTATTAGACTAAGGTGGTTAAACAGATACACAAAGTATGTAGACTAAGGCAGTTAAACAGATACACAAAGTATTAGACTAAGGTAGTTAAACAGATACACAAAGTATTAGACTAAGGCGGTTAAAGAGATACACAAAGTATGTAGACTAAGGTGGTTAAACAGACACACAAAATGTGTCGACTTAGGCAGTTTAACACACACACACACAAAGTATGTACACTAAGGCGGTTAAACAGACATACAAAGCATGTCGGATAAAGCGGTTAAACAGACACACAAGGTATGTTGACTAATTCGGTTAAATAGACACACAAATTATGTCGACCAAGACGGTTAAACAGAAATTCAAAGCATGTCGACCAAGGCGGTTAAACACACAAATCATGTCGAGCAAGACATACAAAGCATGTTGACTGAGGCAGTTAAACAGACACACAAAGTATGTCAACTAAAGCGGAAACAGGAAAGCTGCTTGCAGGGTGGCAAGCGTTGCTTTAGAGGTCGAACAACTTATTTAAAGTTAGCCTCCCTTGATTATATTCTCTAGGTGACTCAGATGTGTTGGGAAATGAACAGGCAGACAAACTGACCGATTAGGCACCATTTAGTGGTAAATTGCTACGCTAGATGTGATCAAGACCCCCTGAGAGCAGGTGAACAGTGTAGAAGCACACATAGGTCATCATGATGCGAAGAGAAAGGTGCAGTGTGAAATGACGGGGAAATCTCGGATACTCAAAAGCACGGCCAACTCTAGATATAAATAGAACACAGGACTTTGTAAGCATATTAAAATGTCACACAATGCAACATGGAAACGATTCCAGTAACCTATTTTCGAGGGGACTCCTCGAAAATGTACCGTGATTCATTTGTCAGGACTGAATATACAGCTGGACGTGCTCAAAACCTATAGAAATTCATCCGCAAATGGAGGCCCATTATGGTAATTGCATGCCTGACAGTCCAGAAAGTGTCAGAGGGGAGTGTGAATGACGTATACACAATGGAACCTACCAATCTGACACCTTTCTTAAATGTTTGTGTTTTCTAGACATAGCATTAAGGTCTACTTTGTAAATCGTTGCTATGTTTGTTATTCGACCTATGCTTCGTTAATATAAATGTATATGCCATTTCAACGGTTTGAGATTAATTATGTCCGTATTCCAAAGTTGTGGATTCCAAGCTGTACAATAGACATGGCCAGTGAAGACACCTTTATTTTTTTTTGGGGGGGGGGGGGGGGGGGAGGGGGCTAGTTGATCATGTTTTTAGTACACTTGTTTCCATAGAGAGGCGCACGCGCCATTTTCTTCTTCTTCTTCACGTTCACCAGCTGTAAACTCTGGCGGAAGGTTCTGGTTGCTCGTCCACTACTGAACTGCAGTCCTGCTCCAGAACCTGAGTGTTGCGTGTGCATCAGTTTTACAGATCTCATTCTCTTGAATACAGACTGTTGGTTCCTTGCCTCTCCGGCAGATGCACTCCGACTTCAAAGGAAGCTTCCCAATTAGTCGACTCTTACGACATGCTTTTGGGGAGGCAGTGGGTCTATTCTTGTTTTCCCCACAATGGGGCCCCGGAACCCACACGGGGGACACGCCATTTTGAGGTGACAGGTTCGATTCCCGGCACGGCAACTATAGCTTTCGATTTGTATGTTGTTTAGTGTGTTCGTTTATCTTTCTACGAGTGCCGATCGATACATTGTCTGTCTGTTTATTACATTTAATATAAGAGGGGAGTAGGAGGTTTCAAAATGAATTGATTTATGTGACAGGCCGATCACGTCCGGGTCAGGCAAACTGAGTAGTGACCCTAAAGTCGATTTTAGCCGTTAGACGTTCTGGAAAACTACCGATTATGGACGGACAGGCATGATCACCAAACTAGACCTTAATTCGCCGAAGAATTTCCAAAGCTTTCATCCCTTCACTAATAAACAAAAAATCATCTCAAACGTGGGACAGCCATATTTAAACTGTCATTATGGCGTCTCCTTGTTTGCACTATTGACAGGTTACAAGACAGTGGCATTTTTTAAATTGTAATTTTAGTCACACAAAAAAAATCACACTTTTATGTGTTTCCTTTGAATCCCTCTCGTAGTCTTCTAAACGTGGATAGGTCCGTATGGTTTCCTTGCAACTTAAAAAAAAAAAAAACGTGGATAGGTCCGTATGGTTTCCTTGCAACTTAAAAAAAAAAAAAACACCCCCCCCCCCCCCCGACCGGTATTCGAACCTTTTATGTTCAAATGACAATTCTGGGAGGTGACTGAACTCCACTCCACTGTAAGGCCAACTGGGCACTTTGATAATATGATAATAAGTGTCATTAATAGCTAAGTTTCCAATCTGACTGAAATAATGATACACTAATCTTATGTTTCCATACTATAAGTGTGTGTGAGCGAATACATTGTTTTTCATGATACTGTTTTGGCGCAGAGCTTGCCACTATTGTTATTAGTGTTTCTATGTATCTTCAAGTTACCATAGAGAGTGTAGCTTAGCAACAACTATTATCCTTGCTGCTGCTACTACTGCAGCTAGTATTACTTCTTCCCCCTTCCTTTTCTTCCTCTCCTTCAACCTCTTTATTTGATTCCTCAGTCTTCCCTTTTATCCTTTTCCTTCCTACTGCTCCACCTCGTTTTTTGATCACCTCCTCCTCTTCTCGTCCTTACCTTTCTTCTCCTCCATTATCCTCCTGCATCTGCCTCTCCTCCTGCAAGAATGAGTAGAGGTTAAGGACTCTTCTCCATACCTTCTGGCATATGTGGGCATATAGGGCTAGACCAGTATTTTGAAGACCAGTTTGCACTTGATGGTTTATATGGTCAACATAACACTGTCTGTACCTGGTACCCATTTGAGGCTGGGTCGACCTGGGAGGCAAGGCTATTTAAAAAAAAAAAGAGTCTAGCTCCATCAGGACCCGAACCCATGTCCTTCCGATTTGCAGTTGAGCATCTAGCCACTACACCACATGGGCTCCCTTCCTGCAAGAATACTTACCCAAAAATGACGAAATCCCATTTTTTTTAAAGAGCTAAGACATAAACACGTAATAGATCATGTTTGCACACAAGTCAGACATATTAAATTAATAACACTATCATAATCATCATTATCCCGTAACCCTACATGTCTTTGGATCACCAGTTTGTTTTGACTGTCTGATCATCTCTCGCCACTTTTGGATAACAAGCAATTAATATAAATGTTATCTTTCTATTCCAGTTCCGTTCTGGACATCCCAGCGATTCCTGACAGCCATTGTTACATTCTGGGGCTTTGCTGTCTTGTACTTGCAGAGAGTCAATCTCAGTATAGGCATTGTCTGCATGATCAAGCATGAACCAGATCTGTCCAATGTAACAGGTGACTGGAATGTCACAAGTGACTGGAACAGGCAAGTCAACATAAATAGCTTTATTTTTCCCTGTGTGGATTCCGGGGCGTTAATGTGGGGGAAACAAGAATAGACCCACTCCTTTCCCAGAAAGCATGTTGAATGAGTTGACTTATGGGGGGCTTCCTTCAAAGTCAAAGTGTGTCTCTCTGGGAGCCAAGAAACCAACAGTTTGCACACAAATAAGCCAGATTTTAAAAACAGATGTACATGCAACATTCCGGTTCTTAAACACAACTAAAGTCCAGAGGTGGCTGAATACCTAGAACTCTTTGCTGAATGTGAAGAGAAGAAGAAGAAGTTGTATCTGTTTACTATTTCATGACATCATTATTATCATCATCCACTACTGACAAGAGCACTTGACATCTCAGAGAGAGAGAGAAGATCAGAAATTATGACATCTTACAGAAAATTGGGTTAGTAGTAACACTAGATTAAATTTTGAAAATGATTGGTGAAATGGTTTGGCCATTTTACAATCAGCAGACTGACATTGTTCATTCCTCATCTGAACAGGCACTCTTCCACCGTTTATTTCTTATCTAGACAGGCACTCTTCCACTGTTCATTTCTTATCTAGACAGTCACTCTCCCACTGTTCATTCCTCATTGGGACAGGCACTCTTCCTCTGTTTATTCCTCATCGGGACAGGAACTCTTCCACTGTTCATTTCTTATCTAGAAAGGCACTCTTCCACTGTTATTTCCTCATCGGGACAGGAACTCTTCAACTGTTCATTTCTTATCTAGACAGGCACTCTTCCACTGTTCATTTCTTATCTAGACAGGCACTCTTCCACCGTTTATTTCTTATCTAGACAGGCACTCTTCCACTGTTTATTCCTCATCGGGACAGGAACTCTTCCACTGTTTATTCCTCATCGGGACAGGAACTCTTCCACTGTTTATTTCTCATCGGGACAGGAACTCTTCCACTGTTTATTCCTCATCGGGACAGGAACTCTTCCACTGTTTATTTCTCATCGGGACAGGAACTCTTCCACTGTTTATTCCTCATCGGGACAGGAACTCTTCCACTGTTTATTCCTCATCGGGACAGGAACTCTTCCACTGTTTATTCTTCATCGGGACAGGAACTCTTCCACTGTTTATTCCTCATCGGGACAGGAACTCTTCCACTGTTCATTCCTCATCGGGACAGGAACTCTTCCACTGTTCATTCCTCATCGGGACAATACCTTGTGCAAGACAAGAACCAAAATATGATGAAATGAAGGGATGAGATTTATAACCTTGTGTGACAGGTTGACAGAGAGATACCATCGAGACACATGGATGCAATTTAATCCTCTTATCTTAAATGAGCTTTTAATCATTCTGTTAATGTTGATATCATAAATATTTTCGTTGTCTGCAGCACGTTCACCACAGACAGCATACAGTCATCTACAGCTGCGCCCGTGGTTGGCAGCGCTGATTTCTGCGCGTCTCTGGAGAAAAAAGCCAAAGGGGAAGATGTGAGTCATAGAATCCACTACAGCTGCTTTTTCAACTGGTAGATTAACTATTTCAGATTTCTTAGCCGACGCGCAGGAGAGCACAGCTACAGTGAAAAAAGCATTATGTATTATCTTCATTAAAGACCCTTTTCCAGGCGTATTGGGCATATAGGGCTAGACCTATATTTTATAGTCGGTACTCTGTGGCTGATGTGGTCAGCATCACACTAGCCACTTTTACTTCCCAGGACTTTTCCTGGTACCTATTTAAGGCTGGGTTGACAGGGGAGCCAAGGTCATTTGTTTGGAATAAGAAAAAATGTCAGGCTCAGTCAAGACCTGATCCCACAACCTTCAGATCTGCAGGCAAGCACCTAGCTGATACACCATTTTCACAAAAAATATGTGTGTGTTTGTGTCTTATACATTGGGCAATCGCCATGGCTAGACTCTTGCGCGTGGATTGGAAGGTCGTGGGTTTGCTCCCTGGTGGAGCCGGACTTTAAAAAAAAAATGACCTTGACTCCTAGGTCGACACAGCCTTGAGTGGGTACCGGGTGCAGTCCCTGCGGCTGGCGTGATACTGACCACATCACCCATCTTGTGCCGTTTGGTCCATAGAAATATAGGTCTAGCTGTATATGTCTAAAGGCATAGAAAAGGGTACTTTACCTATATATATATATTTAAGTACAAGAAACACACACAGACACATATATATATATATATTTAAGTACAAGAAACACACACACACACATGTGTGTGTTTTTTCTTAAAAGCCTTTACACCTACTGGAAAACAGGACTGCAACCAACACAGGTTTGTCTGGTGTCCGTGTATATAGTTCTAACATTCTAGGTGTTAATTCTTATGATTTTCTAAAGAGAAGAAAAATAAGGCAGCAGTCCAGATTTCTTACGGTTGTCTCCACATTCCATTAAACTTGTTTTAGAGAAAAATCCTTTTATAATTTCAGATAATAGGTTTTATATTTATTTGTTAGGTCCCTCGCACCAGTTTAGTGTTTGAATCAACCTCTCCCTGTTCTTCCTAGAGCTGTATGGTGTTATATTTTGGGGGTATTTAACGTTGTGCATTATATTTTGCACATGAATGAATAATCCCAACTAAATTTATAGGATAGTTCAGCCAGGGACAAAAATAAAACCCTAACCTGCACAGTCCGTGGTGACGTCACAAGCTCTAAATCCTCAGGCTCAAAGATCCCCCTGCCTACATTACAAAAGTGATAAATACAGACGATAATGGTAGTTAGAGCGGGGCACCACCCTGGAAGAACAAAGACGTAGGTTTCCCTCTGACCTGGAGCTACCCGACTACCTGAAGTAACCAGTCAAGAAGACCCCCTAGACTCCTGCCACCCCCCAAACCTCAGAACCCAACTACCCACGCCACCCCTAAACCTCTGAACCCAACGACCCAGGCCACCCCTAAACCTCTGAACCAAACGACCCACACCACCCCTAAACCTCTGAACCCAACGACCTACGCCACCCCCAAAACCTCTGAACCCAATGACCCACACCACCCCTAAACCTCTGAACCCAATGACCCATGCCACCACCCAAACCTCAGAACCCAACAACCCCCGCCAGCCCTAAACCTCTGAAAACCACCCAAGCCTAACAAAGCGATAGAACCACACCAGTCAAAGAGAAGCCTAAATCTAACCAAGACAGACCACGCGGCATGTTGATCCACAGAAACGGAAAATCAGGTGAAACCTTGTTCACCACAAGAAAAGATCTCCCAAAAAAAAAACCACAAGGAAACAAAGGACTTAAATAAAACCCAAGTCCTCGAGGCAGGTTGAAAAGTCTAAACCTTTTTTTTTTCTCTTATCAAGATTTAAAAAAAAAAGATAGTTAGTACTGTTGTTTATAGCTTTTCTGATCATTAATTTATATTGTTTAGTCATTCATTTTTTGTTGTTGTATATTTTAAAAACAATTGTTTTGTTTTCTTCTAACTTTCCACAGGTTGGGGAATTTACCTGGGATAAGGAGTTGCAGGGTCTTCTTTTGGGCTCCTTCTTCTGGGGCTATCTGGTCCTGCAGGTATCTCTTCATTTTTTTCACAAATATCACTCTTGACCGTTTGATGTCCAGTTCATTTATCTGTGAAATAAAATTGAACACTGTTATTATCCCTCTGTGTGTGTGTGTGCATGCGTGCGTTTGTGTGTGTGTATACGGTACCTCTGTTACGTTTTATATATATAGGGTTAGCTCTGTATATGTTCGCTTTGGTATACATTTAAATTGGTATACATCATTTTGTCATGTTGTATACAACCTTTGTCAGAATACGAACTTGTGTCAGTCAGAATTAGTCCGACACTGGGCGCTATCTTTGTTTGCCTCTCTTGAGACAAAGCCATGGATTGATGCCAGTGACTTTGCAGAGAAGTATCACCCCAACAAAGTCTAAACAAACTGTAATAGCATTTTCTGGAATGACCAGAAGGTGAAGCAAAGTTACTCAGGTAGATTTTTATTTAAAGTCAAACCTGATGAGCCTCAAGCCACTGCAAGTAGTGAAAAGAGACCAACAAAAAGAAAGAGGGAAAATAAATTTAAATTTTCAGATTCCGGACGTATTGTTAGAAAGGGACTCTCCTTGCAAAGAAAACAAACAAAAACACATTCCCCTCCTCCCGTCTCAGCACCATCCTAGTTTTAGGCACTCAGCTGCTCTCAGGCAGATGAAGTGAAGTTAAATTTACATTTATTTTATTGAATTACTTTTGTGTTTTTGTAGTAGAGTGTTTATAGGTATATGATTAAATTTTATACAAACACTTAAATGAATAATGCGCTAATAAAAAAAGGATTTTTTTAATGGGAATGAAATAATCACCCCCAGCCCCCTCTCTCCATTTCTAATGGAAAAAATTTGTTTGATATACGTACTGTTTGGCATACGTTCAAAGATCACTTCTGTCTTTCTGTGCCCTGTAGGTGCCTGGAGGCATGCTGAGTGAAAGGTATGGACCAAAACGGGTGGTGTTCTACACCATGTTGCCAGCTGCTGTTCTGGGCCTTCTGTCACCAGTGTCCGCCAGGCTGAACCCATATCTCTTTCTCGTAGTTCGAGTCTTGATTGGGGTTGGAGAGGTAAGTGGGTTCAGAACTTGCCTTCATCCCGACTGTTATCACCACCATCATCTTCGTCATCATCATCTTTATCATCATCTTCATCCTCACCATGTTCATTCTTGATATTACAGTTATTGTTGTTTATATTAGCAGGTGATCTTTTCCTTTTTTTAAAATCATTATAATTGATTTCACTATCATCATCTTCACAATCTTTATCATTAGAATGTATATTATCATATTACCCTTGCTGTTTAATTTGTCAAATTTGATATCAGCATTAACATCATCATCTTTACAGTTTTTTTTCTACAGCATTATTATTATTGTCATTTATAATATGGATATAATGATCTTTAATGTTGATATTATTATCTTTAATATAGACATTTTTACTGTGGATATTATCATTTTTACTATGGATGTTAGTTCATTAACATGCACATTATCATCTTTAATCAAAATGATTAGTTCATTGAACTATTTCTTAACCTGTCGGTCTTTAAATTAACTCACAGATGCCTAGAAGTTTGAATTTTTTATTGTTTCTGTGCCAGTCACCTCTTATTTTAATCAGATCTATAGTATAGTTGAAAAATACACTTTTTTTTTTATTTTCACTGAGAGAGAGCTTGTCAACATTTTGAAGTGGCAGTTTTAAATCTCAGAGTTATCACACTGTAGCTCCTTGTGTGGGCTCTGAGGCCCTATTTTGGGGAGGGGTGGGAAGAATAGATCCCCTGACTCCCTTACAAGTCACCTAAGCGTGACTAAATAGGGGTATTTCCTTCAAAATTGTAATTAACTACAGATTTTTCCCTACAAAATTGGAATACGTCTGCCTGGGACATGAGGAACCGACAGTCTGCTTACAGATAAATCACAACTGAATATGCAAATCACCCTTTTGAGGGCAAATTTGGAAGAAGTAAAAGACGAAAAAGAAGAAACTGCTTAATCTTTAATAACTGCATTACCGTAAACAGTGTCCATAAGGTAAGGGTCAGATTTAAACCCATTGAGACAAATTGGGTATGCAGTGCTAGCCAGGGCTTTTTTCTTGCGGCACACAATGGTATGCTTCTTCTTCTTCTTTGAGTTCACCAGCTGTAAACGCAGGCAGAAAGTTCTGGTTGTTCGCCCACTTCTGGACTTTAGTCTTGTTCCAGAACATGTGTTTTGCGTGTGCATCCATTTTACAGACCTGGCATATTTAAATGCAGACTGCTGGTTTCTTACCTCTCGGGAAAATGCAATTGGTCTTTGAAGGAAACCCCTAATTAGTAAACTCTTACGGCAAACTTGTTAGGAAGGCAGTGAGTCTGCCCCACCCACCAATGGGCGCCCTGAACCCACACAGGAACAGTGGTATGCAGTACTGGCACCTTTAAATAAAAAATATTTGGCACAACTTAAAAAGTCACCTCATCTCGTCAGCCATGAGATTTCACAGGAGATTTCCGGGGACATTCCTATAGTCTAGGGGTGTCATGTGTTCCTCGTTTTGAACGTTTTAAGTACATCCGCCACTGACGACAGCCAATGCCAACAAGCGTAAAAATACAAAAACATCAGTGATTTCATACTCATGAACCATCGTGCCTTCGGCACTTCCCCTTGCAGTACTTTTTCCTTGCACACAGGCGCCTCTGGTGCCTGAGACCTACTCACAACAACAACATATTCAGAAACAACAGTCGTTCACAAAAAAGAGAGTTGTGAAAAGAAAGCTGGGCACTTTTGTCTGGGAGACTGTGTTGACCACGTAAAACATACCTGAGCCACTTTTCGATGCATCATGTATAGATGGTGAAGAAAGACTCTTCAAAATATCCCTAGAAAATAGGACAGCCTGTGGGAACCACTACAAAATCTCACAGCCGACGAGAGGGGGTGACTTTCATGATTAGTACCAACAATTTTTAAAGGCATTGGGAGGGGGGGGGGGGGAGACTGCTGTAATAGACATTTAGTAGTGAGTACCAACACAATTTGTTTTTACAACAGCTTTTAATGAGCACCGATATCCTAATTCTTTAAAAAACAAATCGTTGATACTAGCCCATATTGCAATAGACCATTTAGCACACATATGTAATGTTATCAGTATCATGCCAAGCTACTTACTCTTTAAATTTCCAGGTTCATATTTTAGGCTGTGTCAGCCGTATATAACTATTATGTTATACCAATATCTACATGTAAGCAACAACAAATTTTCTTCTTCTGTCCAGAGTGCCTTGTACCCGGCTGCACAAGCCCTGTTTGCCAGATGGTCGCCACCATCAGAAAGAAGTCGCCTGGTTGGGGTGTCTTTATCAGGTTGGTTTTTTTAAATATTACATTTCTGTTTAATCATTCTAATAAACTGTGACTAAGAAACTTCATGAAGGGAGAGGGCTACAGCATACACCCACCAGAATTTGACATTTTGGCCTGAGCCTTTCTCGACACAAACCACAACAAGGGGCAGATTGGGCATGTGAAACTCACACTTTGGATGGAGGAACAGCAAGAACTTTCTGCCAGAGTTTACAGCTGGTGAATGCTAAGAAGAAGAGTAGAGACACCTGGTGACTCAAAGGACCACTATTAGGATGTGAGTCCAAATGTAGCGCATCCCAGAAACCCTGTTCAACCATACAGAACAGTTTTATTGGGGCACTGAATAGTTACAGTCGGCGTCTGTGGCCTGGGCGTTGTGAACACATTTTGTAATGCCAGGGTGCCTGGTTCGATCTCAGCTGGAGACAATTTGTCCTGTGTTGATTTCGACAGTGGTACCAAGAGCTGACTGTTCCGAAAGCAGTAGCAAACTACTGAATGTAATGATACACAACTAACTTTTCAGCTATGGTTACAAATTAATTGCAGTCCAGTGTTGGTGGGTAGGTAAAGCTTATTAATTTGAAGATATGCATAATTTCCCCAAATCGTCCATACAAACATGACAGATATATTCTATACATACGAGACTTTACTTCTTGTCGATTTAGATAAAACCAAAGGGCTGGATCGATCATAAACATTAACAGTGGGTCAGAATCAAAGCAGTATTTCCGCAATGTAAATTTCAACCAAGAAGACACAAACTATATTAATATTCAATTGACGAGATACAGCAAAATATGCCAAGCAGTAAATTGTGTAATCAATTGTTTGTCTTTTTTGTTCAGATGTGGGACTAGCAGACTAAAACAAAAAACAGTTAAACAGGTTTGGCAGTTTGCTCTTTCGCTTGTTGGTCTGACTTAAGCATTTGGGTAGTTGGAATGATGGGCCAGAGTTATGAGGACCAACTCACAACACATATTTTAGTATCATTGTTTTCTGAACATGGTGAACAACAGAAACAGTTATTAATAAACTACAAACATTCATTAACTGTTGCCTGAGGGAATTAAATGGTATGATAGAATCACCATGTTGAACTTTGTTTCTGTGAGAACTAAACTAATTCCAGTGGGCAGGAAGAGATACTGGTGCAGAATAGGACACATGTTAAGAAAACCTGAGACCAGTATAACTATAATGTTTTTTGTGCTGGAACCCACAGGGGCATACAAATAGAGGTAGATTTAAAAAAAAAAACTTATACATGATGAAGAGAGGTAGAAAGTGAAGTTAAGATAATAGGAATGATACGGGGTGAGCTGCCTGCAGTAGCAAAAGATAGGATGACTTGGTTGAGGGCCTATGCTCCATCTGAGGGATGAAGGGTAGAGGAAGAAGATTTCTGACCCCATAAATACCAGAAATGTTCACACAGTTAATTGCTAACCTCATACATATTCAACAGGCGGACAGTTTGGCAATGCTCTCATGTTCCCGATTGGAGGGCTGCTGTGTAGCTCCGTTGGCTGGGATTCTGTCTTTTACGTCATGGGTAAGTTAGTTTCTGTTTTGTATGGGTTTAGAGCAGTGACTCTCAGCCTTCCTAATGCGGCGACCCTTTAATACAATTCCTCATGTTGTGATGATCCCAACCATGCAATTATTTTTGTTGCTTCTTATACCTTGGCAAATATGTGTTTTCCGATGGTCTTTGGCGACCCCTGTGAAAGTGTCGTTCAACCCTCAAAAGGGTCGCGACCCACAGATTGAGAACTGCTGTTGTAGTGCATATTGCTTATTTGTTATTAGTTTATTTCCTACCATTGTTTAAATACTGGTTCATTCATGAGTAATTAAATAATTTTGAAGCCTTTTTTGTTGTTCAAACTGGTTCAGCATAATTTCTTTTCTGTTTTTCTCTTTTCCTGAAATCCCTCACTGTGTCAGGGCAGGAACATACGCAGTACTTAAGTACATATTACTTAACTGGATCCTTTTTGATTCACTAGTTCCAATGTTTGTTTGAAAGAAAAAAGAGTAGACACACTGTCCCATTTTGGAGCAAGAGAAATTTGGAGAAGTCTCACAGCCTCAGAAAGAGCATGTTGTTAGAAAGAGGACTGAACTTGATTAAGTATTTGCTGCAATCAGATATGTGGGGCCAGAAGGGGCAGATATCGCAGCCTAGATGTAAACCACAATACAATGTACCAGCCACCTTTTTCAAGGCCAGGACGGAAGAACGACAGCTATCATGATATTGTAGAAGCCAGGTTTTTTTTTTTTAAATTAAAAGATGATGCTAGAACTTAACCACAAAGTATCTAAAAAAAAAATGGGCTGTTTCTCACCACAAAGTGTCTATTACCTTAGTACTGGACTCTGAACTAGGCAACCAGTGTAAGGTAGCTATGCAATGGATACCATCCCACTGTGGAGTTCCTGGAAATGAAAGAGCTGATAAACTAGCTAAGAAAGGTGCAGACGAAGAACAACCTGATGTACCAGTCTCTTGTCAACAGAAGAAGAGAATAATCAGATCAATCAGAAAGCCATCATAACTGGCAGAAGACAGTTACCATATTATGGACAGACTAGAGCAAGTCATTATTATTCTACGTGCAAGAGAACCGGACTAAATCGACTTTGCAGCCACATATATAGAAAATTTAAGATTGGCGAATCAGCCATGTAGACAGACTGGCACCTGAGACAACAGATCATATCCTCCAAGACAACATTTCGAGACAGAACTTCTAGACAAGAGAGACACTGGTGGAAGCCAAATTTTATGGGCCTCTAAGTAAATTACAAAAGATAGTGAAGTTCGCTACTAAGGACAAGGAAATATATAAAACCGAACAGAAAGTATCAGCGAGCTTTACAATAAAACAAACACATACAAAACTAGAGACAACACTGCAGATACAGATAGTTTGTTTCAAGCGAACAAAAGAAGAAGAAGAAGTTAGTACAGGATGAGAAAAAGATGCCGGTACTGCAAACTGTTACCTACCAATAGAAAAACAGTCCTAGTGGCAGTATTAGCCATTTAACAAGCTTGTAAATGTTTCATTTTTATATTTTTGTATACAGAAGTTGTTGTTTTCCTTGTGCCCACAGGTGCTCTAGGCTTTGTTTGGTGTATTGTCTGGTACCTGCTGGTGTTCGACAGCCCTCAGCTGTCCAAGAGAATCTCTACTTTAGAGAGGGAGTATATACAACATCATGTATCTTTCAGGGATGGACAGAAAACGGTGAGGTTGATAGGTTGTGTGTGTCTGTGTGAAATAGAGAATGAATGAACAAACTTTAATTTCAAAAGGGTTAAGAATTAGGCACGCAAGCCTGTCTAACATTCTGCCATTCCAGTCCACTCATTGCATACAGGGAGGAAATCAGAGAGAGATAGAGTATATAAAACAACATGATGTGTCTTTTATAACTAAGTTATATGAGAGAGAGAGAGAGAGAGAGGAAAGGAAAGGGAGAGAGTATTATAAATTATTCATTCACACTCCTGAGTCTTCTTCTTTATGTTCACTTCAGTAAACTCCATTGGCAAGTTTTGGTTAGTCATTCCTTCTAAACCTGATTTTTGCACGGACATCCATTTTACACCTAACCATACGAGATTGAGTGAATAATGAAACTATCAGGCAAATTGTGGGAACGACACCTTGTACTAGATTCATCGAGAAACAGCAGATCAGGTGGTTTGGCCATCTCGTTAGAATGCAGCAAGATCAAATACCATCACAAGCACTACATCTCAGAAAACCAACTACAAGAGCAAGAGGACGGCCGCGGAAAATATGGATCGACAACGTTAAAGACACTACACCTTCATGGCATGACAATAGCCAGTGGCAGCCAACGTGCACTGGAACACAAATTATTCCTCCCCACGGCGCTTAACAACAGAAGTGGTTTATGATGATGATGATGATCCATTTTACAGATGTCACTTATTTTTTATGCTGACTGTTGATTCCTTGAAGATGCACTCTGACCTCGAAAGAAACATCCCCAGTTAGTCAACACTTACAACATACTTGTGTTGGGAAGGGGGGGGGGGGGGAAGTGCAGTGGGTCTTTCTTCCCCCCCCCCCCCCCCCCACACCACATGGGACCTCAGAATTCACATAAGGAAAATTGTGATATAAGTATAAAGATAACATTTGTTTAACATTATGCATACTCTCATACACATTTGTCAGGTTATTTTTCAGTGGAAAAATTAGTAATATCTCTCCTGTTGAAGTTATTGTTCATTATGTAGATTCCTGTTTCAGCCATACCTTATTGGGGCCCTTAACCTTTTAGTTGCAAAAATGTGTCCGAACCCAGGGGAATTCCTGAAAAAAAAAGGATCTTTTTCTTTTTCTTTCACAGGTATCTAATAGTTAAACAAAATTATATCTACATTTTGTTTAATTATTTAAAAAATATATATGTGTAAAGCGAGGAATCAGTAACATGAATGTAGTGAAACATTAAATGGAATTTCTTCCCTCTGGCCTTTAAAAAAAAATCCGTACCAGGTGACTCATGCCGTGTCACTATGATAACTCAGATTTCAGCAGGACTTTTAAAACAACCATGATGTTTAGAAGAAAAATCACTTTAAATGCTATATTTTAGTAAATATATTTGTATCCAGGTCTACTAAACACTGCTTAGGTAAGGAAGGAACCAGAAACATTAAACTTCACTTCTCGGAAACAGGTCACTGCAGGCAGGCCATTTTTAGGGGTTCTTTACGGGAACTGGCAACAACAGAAAAGCGTACATGTAAACTATACAACCACCCATACGCATAATACTCATAAATACCCACACACATAATCTCATACACAGATGCATACATATCATACCCACACATTCATACACAAACACACTCGTGCATAAACACTTATTTATTTTCAAACATACACAGGTAGACATATTCTTGCATCTGCATATATACACACTAACACATACTCCTACACACAAACACTCATACACACACACACACACACACACACACACACACACACACACACACATATACTTACACTTTCACTCATCCATACATACATATATGCCCCTCATGCATACACATACATGCACCAACACTAGGAAACAAGGACGTACAAAATAAAACCTAAGATGAATGTTGATGACAGAAGACAGAAGTGGATTCTATCCATGATATTAAAACAATTGCACAGGAAAGAATGAAATGGGAGAAAAGACTAAAAGCCCTATGTGACATATATCAGCACCAAAGGATGATCATGAGTAATGTTTATATTTATAATATCACTCTTTTATGAATGTTGTAAATTTACAATTTTCTGATTGTCTAATTCACAGCAAGCCACCCCCTGGAAGGCTATATTTACATCACTGCCCTTCTGGGCGATCCTGATGGGTCACACTTGCGGCAACTACGGCTTATACATGCTGCTCACCCAGATCCCAACCTACATGAAGGAAGTCCTCAAATTTGACCTGAAATCTGTGAGTCTACATTCTGTAGTTTTTTGTTTTAGTATGTTTCTTTCACCTTTTTTTTTTTTTTTTTTTAATTAGTAGACTTTTCATTCACTTGCTAATCATGGCTCACCGCAATGTTGTTATTGAGTTTATTTATCAGGCAACAATGTTTTTTTTCTGATTTCCAGTAAGAAAATTACTTTTTTTGTTTTCCTAAAAAGTATAAGTGAAAATAGTTTTTAATTTATCTTGTTTTTCGGAGAAACGGTTGCGCAGCAGCTAGACTTTCACTTGCCATTAAGAAGGTTTAGGAATCTGCATGGTGGCTGATTTTGTTTTCAAAACCCCACAGACTGACTCTGCCAAAATGGTATCTGACAATGCCCTGGGAAGTAAAGGTGATCGGAGTGATGTTGACCACAACAACCATCAAGTGCTAGTTGGTCTGTACAAATTTAAATCTAGCACTATATATGCCATAAAGATCATATTCTGATTACAGACATCTTCTTGCTGCCATAAATATTGGGTTTAAATCAGCACTGAAGCATTTTTTTTTTTAATTGACCTGAGTCGTCTATAAAATGATTGCCAGAAATATCATGGGAGGTAAAAGTGGGCAGCATGATGTCAGCGAGTGCTGACTGGTCTATAAAAACATGGATGTGATACTTTACGCTTTTTGTCAACTGTTAAAAGAAAAAATAAGACAGAGATATATTGGACTTATCCTGACTGGACTTATCATGAGGATTGGACTTATCATGAGGATACTGGACTGAGAATCGCTAAACAGGCACTGAAAGGGGAAACTAACTGATTGAGGAAATTAGAACATCTGAGAGAAACCCCAAGCTGAACATCATTGAGGGAGGATGAAGGTACTAGACTAGATTCCATCCATGATATCGAAAGGATTGTTCAGGATACAACAGACTGGAGGACTACACTTTGGGCCCTGTGTCACGCATAATGGCATAACATGTTGATGATATAGCACTTTTTTTTAGGCCAGATGCGCTAACAATTAAAAAAAAATGAATCATGGATAAATGCAGCTCAATTTATCTTCATGGAACATTCTAACAATTACGTTTTCTAAATACTATTTTTTTAGAATGGTGCATTTTCCATGCTGCCATATTTGACCATGTGGCTGTTTATTGGTATTGCTGGAACACTTTCTGACCTGCTCATTGTCAAGAAAATTCTGCCCTACGCATGGGTCCGCAAGCTCATGTCTGCTATAGGTAAGTTGTCTCTTGCTGTTTTTGTTTATTATTAGCATGGTCACATACTGATTGATTAAATGAGTGGAAACATAGGTACTTTGGTGCAAACTTCAACTGCTCCAAATACTAAGAGAAGAAATCATCTAGGCTAAAATTAAAGTCTCTGCTTCATAACACCAAGGTTTAAATATATAAAACACTAGTAAGACCTCTTGTTTTACATGGCTGTGAAACTTGGAGCACAACTAAAAGAGATGAAACCTTATTACTCATTTTTATCTTACCACGAAACTTTGAACCTTCAAAAATGCAAACAGCAGGGAATGGAGAATGAAAAGCAACAACACATTTCTTGAGGGAAAGCCACCACCAACAAACCTAAAAATATAAAAACATCCCAGTTTCAATAGACAAGAATCGTCGTACACGCGGCTGCCCCCTGCAGTAGTTCTTACTTGTACACATGCGCCTGCCGCACCTGAAATAGTCTCACGACACAAGCTTCCACAAACATTATATACACAGAGCAAATGCCAAACCAAGCCATATCATAACACCCCCGCAACATAGGAGAGGTCCAACGACCTAAGGATGAATGGCAAGGGAAGTTACTCTAATCCTGGGCCTGGAAACTGTTATCTTTCAGGTTTGTTTAGTCCTGATTGTGTGACTGTTATCTTGCAAATTTGTTGGGTCCTAATTGTGTGACTGTTATCTTGCAGGTTTGTTCGGTCCTAATTGTGTGACTGTTATCTTGTGGGTTTGTTTGGTCCTGATTGTATGACTGTTATCTTGCAAATTTGTTGGGTCCTAATTGTGTGACTGTTATCTCGCACATATGTTTGGTCCTGATTGTATGACTGTTATCTTGCAGGTTTGTTTGGTCCTCATTGTATGACTGTTATCTCGCAGGTTTGTTTGGTCCTGATTGTATGACTGTTATCTTGCAGGTTTGTTTAGTCCTGATTGTATGACTGTTATCTCGCACGTATGTTTGGTCCTGATTGTATGACTGTTATCTTGCAGGTTTGTTTGGTCCTGATTGTATGACTGTTATCTTGCAGGTTTGTTTGGTCCTGATTGTATGACTGTTATCTTGCAGGTTTGTTTGGTCCTGATTGTATGACTGTTATCTTGCAGGTTTGTTGGGTCCTGATTGTATGACTGTTATCTTGCAGGTTTGTTGGGTCCTGATTGTATGACTGTTATCTCGCAAATTTGTTGGGTCCTGATTGTGTGACTGTTATCTCGCACGTATGTTTGGTCCTGATTGTATGACTGTTATCTTGCAGGATTGTTTGGTCCTGATTGTATGACTGTTATCTCGCACGTATGTTTGGTCCTGATTGTATGACTATTATCTTGCAGGTTTGTTTGGTCCTGATTGTGTGACTGTTATCTTGCAGGATTGTTTGGTCCTGATTGCCTGACTGTTATCTAGCACGTATGTTTGGTCCTGATTGTGTGACTGTTATCTTGCAGGTTTGTTGGATCCTGATTGTGTGACTGTTTTCTTGCAAGATTGTTGGGTCCTGATTGTGTGACTGTTATCTTGCAGGATTGTTGGGTCCTGATTGTGTGACTGTTATCTTGCAGATTTGATTGGTCCTGATTGTGTGACTGTTATCTTGCAGGTTTGTTTGGTCCTGATTGTGTGACTTTATCTTGCAGGATTGTTTGGTCCTGATTGTGTGACTGTTATCTTGCAGATTTGATTGGTCTTGATTGTATGACTGTTATCTTGCAGGTTTGTTTGGTCCTGACTGTGTGACTGTTATCTTGCAGGTTTGTTTGGTCCTGATTGTGTGACTGTTGTTATCTTGCAGGATTGTTTGGTCCTGATTGTGTGACTGTTATCTTTAGGTCTGTTTGGTCCTGATTGTGTGACTGTTGTTATCTTGCAGGATTGTTTGGTCCTGATTGTGTGACTGTTATCTTTAGGTCTGTTTGGTCCTGATTGTGTGATTGTTGTTATCTTGCAGGATTGTTTGGTCCTGATTGTGTGACTGTTGTTATCTTACAGGATTGTTTGGTCCTGATTTTGTGACTGTTGTTATCTTACAGGATTGTTTGGTCCTGATTTTGTGACTGTTGTTATCTTGCAGGATTGTTTGGTCCTGGCGTATGTATGATTGGCCTGAGCTACATGGACTGCACCCAGCAGATCGCTGCTGTGGCTTTACTGTGTGGCTGCGTGGGTCTGTCTGGTGTCGCCTTCGCTGGATACATGGTCAATCATGGAGATATTGCTCCTCAGTTTGCTGGCACTCTCTTTGGCATCACCAACATGGCGGCCACGGTACCTGGGATTCTAGCTCCCTACATTGTCGGGGCTATCACTATCCATGTAAGCACATCATCATCACAATTGTGGTTATCATTTTCATCATTATCATGTACATTTCATTATTATCATGTTTGCTCATCATCATATTCATCATCATCATGTCCATCTTTATTCAACATGTTTATCATCATTATCATCATGTTCATCTTTGTACAACATCATCATGTTCATCTTCATTATCATTATGTTCATCTTTGTACATCATCATCATGTTCATCTTCATTATCATCATGTTCATCTTTGTACAACATCATCATGTTCATCTTCATTATCATCATTTTCATCCTTGTACATCTTAAAATACTATAAAATACACTAAAACAGCTGACTAGTAATTTCAAACTGTGGGCTAGTCCCCTTGAAAGTAAGGATGATACAATGCTTATATCTGATACTGAGCAGAAGAGATGATAAGTAGAATACTTCAAGATACTTTAAATAGACCTAGTCCACGAGAACCAATGAATTTTGATAAAGAGGCTAAAATAACCATATTATCAATAAATGAAGGACAGATAAATAAAATAGAAAACAGGAAGGCAAGCAGTTTATCAGCAAACCATAAGTAGGATAATGATGTTACTACAGACATGCTTAACTCTTTGAGTCCCAAGGAACGCATCATTTGTTCCTACATAGAAGCCCAGTAATTGCGCAGATTTTACGTCTCCATAGACTACCCCTTGGGCTTCTAATGCTAAACTCCCTGGGACTGAAAGAGTTGAAGCAGCAGATAATGTAACCATAAACTGAGTGAAAGATTTGCTTAATAGAATAGGGGCAGAGGAAAAAAATACATAAAAGCAATCATCAATAATACAGTGATGATCTGCTTTGAGAGACTATTGGCTCTAATGAAGTTCAGAATATGTTTAGCATCCTCACTTCATCATTCCTCTTGTCATTTTATGTCACATAGGGTTTGCAGTACAATCCTCTGTTCCATTCTTATGTGTATCATATATTTTTCTTTCAGAAAACAAGGGAGGAATGGCAGATTGCCTTCTTTATTGCTGCTGCCATCTATGTTGCTGGAGGACTGTTCTATGTGGTGTTTGCTCAGACAACAGTGCAGAAGTGGGCAGAGATACCAAAAACACTTACAGTTGGAAATGGAGTTCCTTCAGAACCTACTGAGGCAGACAGTATGATTGGCAGGAAATCACCCCTCCAAGAAGACAGCTTGTGATTCGTTTGTGGAATCTCATATATGAGAAGAGAAGGGGAGAGAAGGCTAATGACATAATATGATCTTTCTGAGTGGGCTATTTGGGAAAGTGAGTGAAGGAATGGATGAAATGTGCAAAGCTTTGAAGGAATTAAATGTTTTTTTTTCTTAATGTCATTTTCTGTACCTCCTTATTAAGTGTCTTACCTTGTCTTCTATCATCTCTAACAACAGTTTAAATGTTTGCAAACTCTGTTTGCGGCCATGTTAGTTTCATTGCTTGTTTTTCAGCCTCCTAATTTTCTTGAACTTTTCATATCCAAATTGGCAAAATTCTTAAATATTGCTTTATTATAATTATTTGTTTACCCCTTGTGTTTTCAAACTAATGGCCAATTATTTTTAAGTCTCAAATGTTCTTGCTCTTAGCATTTTGCATTCTATAGTTTTCATATAAATGTATTTTGGCCTTGAATCTTGTTGTCCCAAGTAGTTGTGACTACATTACTTTATAACCCATGGTATGTGTATTTTAGAGACCCAATATTTTAGGCCTAGTGGGTTAAAATGAAAGCCATGAGACAGCAAGGTTTATATTAGCATTTGGGGTTAATTAGGTTAATATATAAGACAAGACTAGGTGAGGAGAAGCTCGGAAATGTTTAATGTGGTGGAAGAGTAATCAATGAAAATGTGATGGTACTGATGGTACTTTGGTGCTAAAAGAGTTCATTGTTGGCTTTTTTAAAAGTGAAAATAAAATAATTTTATAATTTCTCATTGTGTCTTCCTTGTTACACTTATGCTAGATAAAACAATTACTGCCTTTCTTCATCCGTATTAATTTACAAAGTATTTTGTAATGGCCAGTTACATTGTTTACAGTTTGATAAAGTCCTTTCATTGCAGCCACTGTCAAGTTGAAAGGCATTGTAAAATAGAACAGTCAGTTCAGTGAAGGAAAGAATATTAGGGGATCTTTGAAACAATCAAGGTAAATCATCAGGTTAATCAAAGCTTGGGCTGATTTTAAAACTACCATGCCTCTTCAGATTTGCCAGTCTTCTGCCACATTTTGTGTGTGTGTAAAGTAACGAAGGTTTTCCTTGATCACACTCATCTTTACTCCAAGGATTTCTAGCTACAGTGGTACCTTGCTGAACATACTTAATTTGTTCCTGATCCTTGGACATAAACCAAACAGGATGTATACCAAAGAAATTTTCCCATAAGAAATAAAGAGAGATTGATTAATCTGATCCAATAAAAATAATTCTTATGTTATATTTGCATATTTTACATTGATAGGGTTGATAAAATAATTGCAAAAACAGATAAACTAAATGAAAATTTAACCTCACTTTATCTTACCGAGCGAGTGCCTACAGGATGGTACTGAGAAGGGAAGAGGAGGAGATGCTATTTTTTGGAAGAAAAGCCTCCTTTATTAAATCTTCATAAATCTAAAATTCTGGTGTGTGTTGTTTTTGTTTTATTTTTGTTTGTTTTAGTCTCTTTCTACTTCTTGGACCTGGCTGAGGCTCATCAGGTTTGACCTTTACTAAGAATTTGTCCAAAGAACTTCTGTCTTCACCTCAGGATGTTTCAGAAATTTGACATTGTTGTGTCATTCCAGAAAATTCTGTTATTTCTTGTTTGGGGCTTTTTTTTGAGGAGATACTTCACTGCAAAGTCATTGACATCTGTCTGTGGCTTTGTCTTGAGAGAGTTAAACAAAGACAGCATGCAGTGTTGTGACTAATTTTGACCTATACAAGTTCTGGCATGTGTAGCATATTCCAAACAATGGTTGTATACCAAGCAAAAGTGTACACGTCCAAACATGATGTATACCAAGTTAATTTAATGTATATCAAAGTGAACGTTTTCCGGTGTATCACTGAAATAACTATATAGTTTATACATTTTCATTTGTGTTCTTAGGACATAGCTTTTTTGCCCAGCTTACAACTCAAAATGCTTTTCATCATTTCTTTGTTTATTGCCTATATTTTAAAGCTAACATGTAAATTGGCCTGATTTTACATAAAGAATTCTTGTGAATAATTTTATATATATATTTTTTAATTGTATCAGTTATTGCTCCCCTAAACAAGTAAATTTATGTGGTAGATATATTTTGGAGTGGTTTTTAAATCCTGACAGAGTAAAGTGTTTCACATCTAGTCATAATAACTGAGTATGTTTTGTGAGGAGTAAATTGAATAAATGCCTACATTTTAAAAATACACTTTGTGCTCTTCTTACTATTATAAAACATTACCATTTTAAAAACTTAAACACAAAAGATGATAATTGTCACCAGAAATTACTAAACCTAAATTTTAACTGAGGTATTGTTTTTTAAAATGTGACTGTTAAATGTCAGATAATAGTGCAGGATAATTTATTCTCATTAAGAAACCACATGGCAGGCTCAAGGATCCAAGGATAGATTACACATATCTATAGCCAATGCAAATGGTTTAGAAAGTTTCCAGTAATGTCACACAAGATCAACAGAATGATCTTGTAGAAGTCATACCCTGTCAAAGGGTGATAAATGTTCAGTTAACAACCGCATAGGCATTATCATCTGAATTTTATGAATAAACCAGTAGAGAGATTTCAGTTATTCCTAACTGACTCAACAGGGAAAGACATGAAGTATTGGTAAAAAAAAAAAAAGAGTAAATTTAAAATGCTATTAGAAGCATTGGGTTTTACGGTAGAAATAGTTCAAAAGTAAAAGGACAAATGTCTTTCCTTGACACTAATATGTTGTGACTAATATACATCAAATAACATGGATCAGGAAGAGGAAAAACATCGACATCCTGAACGAGCTTAACATCAAGGAGAACTGGCTCATAAACAGCATCCTGTCCTGAAAATTGAAGTATTTTGGCCACATCAAGCGCCATGGTAGTTGAAAAAGACAGTGATGGAAGGAACAGTTTGTGGAAGGCGAGGCAGGGGTCGACCACCGTGAAGATGGATACAGGACATTGAAGATGCATTGGCATTGAAAGCACATGGGCCGGAGGGCTGGCTAGAGAAAGGAATGCTTTCAGGTGTGCCTTGAAGAGAGCGAGGTTCTGTAAAGGACCTCCTAATTGATGATGAATATACCAACCCTCAGTGGACTGCAGGTTACTTCGTAACCATTTTGTTGTGTCCCAATATAACTGTGCTATATGGCTGTACAGTCAAACAGGGTTCTGGGATTTGTTGCTCAAAGGGATGTTCCCCTAGAAGCTAAGCACTTTAAGCAAGCAACAGTAGACAGTGACTTGTGCATATAAAGGATCGTTGTGCCACAAGACTGTCCAAAAACAAATCATCCGTGCTTTCCTTATCGAGAAGCAGAAGATTGTAGCCACATTTGTGAAGGCTCAAGAGGTCAGCAAGAAACACTGACAGTCTGTTGGCAGTTTTAAAAATACAGCTCAAAATACAACAGCCACTTTTACTGCACAGGAAACTTCATGGCACCCATTTTAAGGCAAGGTTGCTGGGAAAATCCCTGTTTTGAATCTGGACTAACATGACAACTGGGCCAGCAGGCAAGAGTGCTGGCTGCTGAACTACTGCAGTTCTAGCACAGATCATACTGAGTTGTTAAGTAGCATTAATACAAATGTTAAATTGAGGAGAGAAAATTATTACTTTATTTCTTCACTAGGGCAGGCTGATGAGAAATGTCTGTATTGCACATGTCCTGTGAAAACCACACGCTGCACAGCATACATGCCCTGCACACACTACACACATCCTACACACACACTACACATATACACACACAATAGACACATACATCTGTGTACAAACGGAGGGAAATTAGATAGTGACATCCCCTTATAAATCTTTACCTTTGTAATTTTTGGGAAATCACTACCATTTGAACCCCAGCAGCACACTGGCAGTGATTGACAGGAATTGACATTTTAAAAGCAGGTACAGATTAAAGGAGTCTTTTCATTGAGTTTAAGACCTTATGTTAGCAGTCCCAAACTGTCAAGACCAGTAGGCTCTCAATGGGCCATATGGTCAGTATTATACCAACTGTCTATTCCCAGTAAAAATTTTCTGGCATCAATTGTTTAGGCTAAGAACCAGGTCATTAAAAAATTCTTTTACTGGGGATTTGAACTTAAGACCATCAGACTGAGAGGTAAACATGCTAGCCATTGCTCTTTTTCAGCTCCAGAATTTGCTTACAGCAAATAAAAAACGTTTCATGATACATTTTGAAATGGTGTACAGGAAAATATGAGAAAATTAAAGTTATAAATGAGATTATAGAAGCAAAACTACAAAAAATATTATTTAAAAAATGATTCAACTGTAACTTAACAGCAGGAGTGCGCAAACTGGCCTGTGGACCAAAACTGGCCCTCGATATAATTTTTACTGGCCTGTGATGCTGGTGTATACTTACTGTATATTCTGACCCTTAAGCACACAAATAAGCAGAACACAAAAACAGCATTTGTATGCAGAAAGAGAAGAATCCAAATATCAACATCCCAGAAAATGATAACCTAAACAGTGATAACCAAAAATTTTTGTTGCCAAATCTCTGATCCTGCCAGTGAAACACGTGTTGCGGACAAACTCAGATATTAGGAGAAAGTGTCTGTCTATGGACTTTGATAATAAAAAATAAGGCGATGACTGCTATTTTTATGTGGTCAGCCAGTTTATCAATAGAATGTGGCATCCCACAAAAATATTATGTTAGGAGGAGAGTTGTTATGTTTATAATAGATTTTTCTGTATGGCCCATCAACAGGTTGGTAATTGTTTTTTTGGGGGGGCCATTCCCGGAAGAACTGCAATACCGGGCTGACCCGTGACGAGAGCGGAGCAAGCCCCGGGCATCTCATCTGGTTCCAAAAATCAGTTTAATATTATAGTGGCCCAATGGACCACATATCAGATATTAACCCGATAAGTCTAAATTTGTTCCATTGATTTAAAATACAAAAAGTTGCCCATCTCTGCTTTACAGCCTTATT